AAAGTAGAAAAATGTTAATTGCTTTCATTTAAACCTGATTGCCAATCTGATCCACAACTACAGAGATCCAATTTTTTTTCTTCCTTGTTTGTCTGTTCTGCTTGGTGAAATTTTAAGGCTTACACAATCCCCCAGAGAGCAACGCAGTCTGAAAAGCAAATAATTAAGCATTAGTAATATACCCCAAAATCAATTTTCTGCAAGAAATAGTTACTTGGATATTAAAATGTTTATTTTTTTCCTTTTCAAACCTTGGAGTGGATTCTGCATCCTGAATAACATTACAATCATGCCAAGATTCAGGGCTGTAATCACAAGTTGCGGTGTCACTGCAATATACACTGCATCCCTTACCCAGAGTGTCCTGGATCTCAGTTCCAGCAGGGATTTAATCATTACTCCAACACATGCCCTCTCCAACAACAAAGGGATTTAAACAAGTGCTTAACCAAACAGAAGAATCATAGCACGTGTGTCTGTGCCCTGCTGGCTTAGGCATCTAGAGTCTAAAGCCAGGATAAAAACACCCCAAAAGGAGAAGTGATAGAGACTCTGCAGGAAGGAACACTGTAAATCTGAGTCCTTATAAAGACCAAAAAAGGAAGGACTAAAATGTGCTGGATTCATCAGAAACCTGGAAGTGTCAAAAATCACTTAAGTGAGAGGTGAGGTCATCTTTGCCAGAACCTCAGCAGCACCGAATTGTAGCGGTGACTGAGCCAAGGAGCAGAGAAGCCCCTGCCTGCAGCACCAGCTCTGCCCATCCTCCACCAGGCTCTGCCACACCATTCTGCACCACCCTCTTCCTCCAGATCCACCCCAGAAAGGGCAGGCACGGAGCTGGAGGGTGCTGCAGCCTTTCCAGCATTTGGGAACCAGGGTGCAGCAGGCAATGGAGAGACAGTGCTATGGCTATTGCCATAGCAGTGGTAAGGAGGTAATGAGAAGCAGAAGAAAGCACCAAAGCTGTCACCACTTCTGCCCAAGAGAGGCTTTGCCACACTGCACCAACATCACAGAATCATAGAAACATCAAGATTGGAAAGGACCTTAAGATCATCAAGTCCAACCTACAGCCCTGCACCACCCTAACAATGAACCAGCTCCTGAAGTGCCACATCAGGTTACCCCTGAAGGGCTTTTCGAACCATGTGCAGCCCAGCCACCAAATTCAGGGGTCACAGGGCACGGGCTGCTGACATGCAGACAGGAAAGTAAAGACCAAGGGGAGCTGAGCCATCACGATGAAAAGTTGTTCTTTTGGCCCAGTACCCATCCGCTGCAGGGATGGGAAATACCTCTGACACAAGCCAACAATAAAAAAGGTGGAAAGACAAGCAGTAGAGACAAAACCAGGTTAAACATCAGTCCTGAACTGATTGTTCTCATCTTGCTCCCTCCTTCCTCTACAGCAGGCTGCCCAGGCTCAGCTCTCGGTTTTAGCCAAACTAAAAAGCACAGGTCTGGCCCATCTAAAACAACAGAAATGGAACAATTTTACACAGTGTGGAAGAGTGAAAACTGGAACCCAAGCCTTGCTGTGGTAGACATCCTCCACTATGTGCCTTGTAATACGTAAATAAAATTCTCATTCTTTAAGAAACTTAAGCTCTGAAAGATCATTATCGAGAGCATTACATCCAAAGAGCTGCATGCTGCATCACCACCTCTTTGCTCCTGCTCAGTTCATAATTCCCATGGAAAATTCATAAAAGCTAATGAAGCACCTCTTCACGCTGCTCTCAGGATTCACTAAGTTTTAAGCAATGATTTGCATTGCACCCCACCGCCCATTTCCCTTCAGTCACATAACAATCAAGGAATAAATGGCATTGCAATAACAAGCACTAATTTTAAGACACGGAAGAATAATGTACTCTCTACAGAAAAGTCAGATTCTACAAGGCTGCTACTTAATTGACTCATGGTATTATGAGCAATTACAACACTCAGAATTTGGAGCAATTCTAATAGCTCTTGCTACTTAATAGCTCTTGCTATCAAAAAGGAAAAAAACCCCAAAAGTGAACTCTGCCTTTAGCACCATCACCAGTCTGTTGCACAATTCACAGACCCTGATGCACTGAGCTCATGTCCTGTTCTGTGCTTCTACTCGCTAGTATCATACAAACAACAGCACATGTGAAATGGCTCTTCTGATCATTAGATACCAGCATTGAAAAAGCTTTTCCCAGCCACACCTAGACCCTGCTGACATGGCATTGTCCCCCTCCAGCAGTTCCAGTCCTTTCTACACTAACGGCAGGGAGATTAACTCAGGCACAATAATTAGTAGACATTTGCTTAGCAAATGAGGAAAATGAGATCCCATGCCCATCTATGTAAGCAGGATCCCACTTCCAGAAGTGTCCTGATACAGTCATGGTGTTATCCTGTCAGTTATTAATCCTATAAAATCTGCCAGGTCAGGAACAAGGATTTCTCCCATTTTCTGTTTTCACTTATACTTGTCTCCTGCACCAGGGTCAGTTACTCCGGGAACGAAACTTCTCGATTACTGTGTCAGAAGCAATAAACTCTCTGCAAATTGATGTCCTTGTAGGCTTTGATCCAACTAGTAGAGTTTAGCAGCATCTGCCACTGTTTATTAAGTCACCGAGATGAAGGATGTTTTCAGCTTAACATCTCTGCCACAGCCTAAACTTCTGCACAACAAAACAAGCAGCTCTGCACACATCTCTTGCTGTCTCCACATGCATCATCTGAGCCTCCTGCCCTCTCAGTGGAGTCAGATGTCATTTTCTTCAGCATTTAGCCAAGGGTACCCACAAGCTGGAGGGTAAATGAACACTCTGCTACCCCTCCAGTTACCACACCATTAGCACAGCAGCGTGTTTTCAGATGTGTTTCAAATGAATCTCGCGTTAGCCTTGAAAGCATTGCATTAACAAAGAATTTCATAAGTGAATGACATTTCAGTGATCTGAGGCTTTTTGCTGTTCTCCAGCGTAAGCGATGGCACAGTTAAATCTGTATTCAGGGATCAAGTGCTGACAGACCCAGGTACCAAAGGAGCCACCCTGTCAGAACTGTAGGCATCCAGCACCCTTTTCATTTTTTATTACAGGAAATATATGAGGAAATGCTGTTGTGCAGAAGTGATGCTTCCATTAAGACACGGCTGCCCAATTTCCACATATGCTGAATCCTGGAAATACCTGTCACTGCATTCTGGATTTGGAAATGTCACCTCTGAAAATGCATATTAAAACACTAATTTTCCAGATCATCATTTTTGTCCTCAAAATACCAGGATTCTGTTGGTACCAACGGGACAACTTGTCCAAGTTAGTGACTGATGCCTTATTCTCATTTACTGGGAACCTCAAATGCATCCTTTTTAGCTAAAATGAGCCTGGTTATTCCATTGAGAGTGGAGTGGTTGAATACACAAGTCTCTCAGTACAGAGAGCTCTGTGTCTTTTTGTGTCTGAGAGAGACTGAGAGAGAAAGGAGGAGAAGAACCACATCTGGAGTTTTAGTCATATTGTACTCCTGTCAGGACATGAACCCATCTGGAAATAAAAAGCAAGGAAATAATGCACTCTTTCTACCCTTTGTTTTGACCTTTACATTCATGTTGGCCATCACTGCTAGGTTAAGAAATTTTAGAAATAAAGCATTTTTGAAGCCAGTGTAGTATGAGGTCAATTCCTTATCTGAGAGGCAACATCCTGTGCCAGGCAAATTGTTTTCTAAATGGAGCCTGAAATGAAAAACCTACCTGAGAAGTGCTAATGTACTTCAGGAACCTCAAGGCCTCGTAGTTCAGGGAAGGAGTTGGACTTGCCCATGGCTGTAGATCAATGTGCCATCTTACAGCCTGCAAAGCAAAGCAAAACAAAACCCACCTTAAATAAACAGGATTCATTTCTCTGTACAGGCGTAAAATGCAAGGGCTAATCAATTAAGGAGATTTAATTTCAAACAAAAATAGTTTCCTAGGGGTTTGTCTACACATGAAAGTCATTTCAGAATAAAGTAGGGTTTGAACTACAGTGAAAGAGCATCTAGCTATGATTTATCATGATCAGCTTTGAAAGCAGATGTAGGTAACTCAGAAAGAAAGGGCTCTTCATGCAGGATACATGCATCAATACAGTTACTCTAGGACACCCAAGTAAGCCCCGACTTGTAGAAATACATGAAGAAAACCAAAATCTGAATAACTAAATCCTCTAGCTAAACATCTGAAAACAGTAAAATAATTTTAATGTTAATCTATCACATATGTTCACTTGAATGTTCACTGAAACAAGAACTTGGATTGCAAACACTAGTCACCAAAGTAAACCTCTGCAAACAATTTCTTTCCTTTTTTTAAAATCTAGATTTGACAGAAAACCAAGTTTCTTGTGGTCTTTGAGGAAAGTCCTCTTCCTCTCCCACACTTGCCTGAAATAAACCAGAATTCTTTGTTTTCCTGAAAAAACATCAGTGTGGTTGCCCATAGCCCTACCACTCCTCATTTTCATAGCTCCAGGGAACTAGCTTTGGTGGATACTTTCTGTACTCCCTGTGACACCCCTCAGCTCCGAACCCTGGGTATCCTGTCAGCTTTTCCAGTAACACTTCCCACACAGACAGAGTGGGACAGAAGAGGTCCTTCAGACATGTGCTTGCAGAACAACGGGGCTCTGCGCTCCCATCTGCACCACCTTCTCCAAATTCTGCCTCCTTTTGTCACACTGGGAAGTTCAGACGTGTCATCTCTTGTCCTCAAGCAGATAAAAATACAAGCACAGTGTTAAGTCGTGCTAAATTAAGATTGATTTCTCATGGCTTTTCACCTTCAGGCACCATAACTCACTTCTACGACTGGGCAGGTAGCATCAAGCTTCCCTTTAATCATGCCCGATTAACCGAGCTTCCATAATGAACAGGAGGGGTTGTATTTCCCCATAGGTTCATGCTGACATTCAGTAAAATACCAAACAAACAGAAACCCCATTCAGGATTCCCACAGGTCCCACATGGACCTTATTTCAAACAAAGCCCTGGAAAAAAAATATAGGAAACAGTAATTAACGGGAGAGAGTGGAGCTCAGAGCGGCGACGTGCTGAGCCCCACCAGAGAGGACAGCCTGACAGTAGGGCTGGTCTGCGGCGCCGGAAGAGCCAGCATGGTGACAGATCCTCTGATGCCAGAGAGGAATGCAGGAAAGAAAAAGACACGGTGAAACTAGAAAAGAAAGATAATTAAAGAGGACCACCGGAACAGATGGTGTTTGCCTTGAGCTGGTATATTTTTGCAGCCTACATAAACATAGACTGGAGTGAACATGAGCCAGGAGGTGTGCATGAGGTTTATTGTTCCTTCAGGGTTTGCTCTTCAGGGTTTGGTTGGTTTGGTTTTTTTTAAACAGCAAACTGATGCTGAAAAGGACATTTGAGATGTCTTTTTTTTTTCCCTAGAAACAGACAAAAGTAGCATTTCCCACCCTTCCACTGAAAGAAGCTCCTAAACCCTGCCCAAGGCTGGAGAGAAGCCAGCAGCATGTCCCCCTGACCCGCCGACGGCAGAAGGCAGCCTGGGAACATCTAACAGCAGGAGGGATAGGTGCACACCAGGGAGGGAAATGCCTGTAATCATTTAGAATGAGTCACAGCTCACATGAACGAGGTTTGCAATGACAGGAATGCTGCCATTTCAACAGGCTTGAAAGCTGAAATGAAAATGAAGACTGACAATCATCTTCAGGGGAGGAAGAAAAAAAAAAGCCAACAAAAATCCCTAAACAGCTGTGCCCAGTTATTCTGAAATCTACTTGTGTGAGAAGTAGCTCATTAAGCAGAGGAATTGCGGGGTGGCCATTGTGGCACCATTCAGCAAGAATTCCCTCTGCACAGAGCTGACGGGGAAGAAAAAGAAAAAAAAATAAATTCCTATAATTAACCACGTGAATTAGGTTCTTTTTCAGCAGAGTGCAATATCAAAGAGCCATTGTGGGTTTTTCTCAGGTTCTCAGAATCTCAAAGAAGATGACAAACTGCCTTTCCACTGTCTCCAAAACATATCAATAAAAACATGCCTTTGAAGATAAAAACACCAGCGACTTAATAATGCAGTTTCACTTAAAAAAAATAAAAAGAGAAGAACAAAAACAAAAAAAGGAGATCAACCGATCAACCTTTTATACAGGTCTTTAAATTTAGGAGCACTACACAAATACTACTTTTGTGACAGGAGATCAGACCTGAGCTCCAGTTTGACAGCAATGATTCTGAATATCTTCTCAAACTTCACGTTTGGTCCCTGGCTCCTTACTAAGCAGCAGCCCATTTCCATTCACGAACGAATATATTAGACAGGTCTTTTCCTAACACATACTAAAACACTCCAAGGGGCACTTCAATTGCTGCATTACAATACGATTCATAGACGATGAATGGGGGTGAAAATCCAGCATCTCTCTTGGACAAGGTACACCCTCCCAGTGGGTAACTCACTGGTGTCGGTGACGTGGTGTGGTTATGTTCAGGACTCACAAAGTATCCTCCCAAAGGAACCCTTCTCTGTGTACACTGGTAGCCTTTGTTTACACTTTTTCCCATACATTTCCATAGTATTTCCATATAAGCCTTCTTCAATAAACCCTGTGGATAAAATGCACATGCTCCTTGCGAACCAACTGCTTTGTGAGAATCAGGTTTATGTCTGATAAAAACATTTCCCTTTTTATGAGGAATTTTTCCCCTCTGGACTTTGAATTTTATTTCCTCAGGACAAATCTGATTGTGGCATCATGTTTTGCACCTCCCCACTCATCTCACAGAAACCTCTGGGGTAAATAACCAAAAGCAGGTCCCTGTGGCTGCTGTACAAAACCAGAAGAGGAGCAGCTTATTTCACAGGGGGCTTCTGCAGCAAGTACACAAGAGTAGCAGAAGAGGTATTACTGTCCATGATACGCAGATTTGGGCATGAAATTCAGACAGATCTCCCCAAGATCACCCAGGAAGAGCCAGAAAACCAGTGATTTTTTCTCAGGAGACCACTTCTATTCTAGATTTCTCTCACTCACCAGCCATCTATGATACTCAACTAGCAAGTGTAAAATTGCAGGTTTGCAGAATTTCTGGCTCTCCTAGCAAAACTTGAACAGAGAAGTATAGATGATTAAATTATTTCCAGCTCAATTGTACCATTTCAGAGCACTCATTCAAACAGCCCAACCCCTCCCTTTCCTTCTGTTTACATTTGAAAGTGAATTAGTAAGTTTTCTACATTACCACTTTTTTTAAACTCAGTAATTATTTTTTCCCTCCTTTAAATCTCCTTCCTTTTTAGCAGCCTATTAAAATACAGAAATGTATTAGTCATGTTTATAAAGAAGAATTCAGGAATCTCATTGCCCTGCAAAGCTGTCTGCTGCATCCAATGAAAAAACCAAAAAATTTGTCTATACATACACAGATATCTTAAGGGAAAAACATAAAATCCTCTCACTACACTGTGCAACAACATTTTTTTAACATTTGTGGCAGGATCAAATGTGAACAGAAAACACTTGTTGCAGTAAAGTTCAACAAATATAAATACTTGCTAGCTATAGAAACAAGCGACATAACAGATCATCTCCAATCGTTCCGACTGTACCCTGTGTATCACCATGCTCATTGCTTTTAGTAAGGTACAGAGGAACAGAGCTTTCACGTGGGTAGAGTTTTGCAGGGGTTTAATCAGTTTAAAACGCAATGGGTGGGATTCAAATTGCAAAATTTCAGACATCTACAAGGTAAATGTCTATTTACTGGATTGCACTCCTGAAGGCTAACTCTTGTGAGAGTAGATTGACCCTAGATATGATTTACAGGGCTGGGCCGTCATTTTCTTTGGGCTCCCTCTGGAGTTCCAGTGGCCCTAAGCATGTTATTTTGTGGGTCTGGGTTTTTTCCCCCCAATTCAAAAGTACCTTAAATAGTGAAAGCAGTGTCTTGCAGCCCACCCAAGCACTGGCTTTGCCTCATGAGGAACATGCAATAAGTGTGAAGCCTGCTGAGATGAGTGGGAGGACTGCTGCGGGTGGAGGCGGCCAAACCTGGCACATTGCTCCACTTGCTCACAACTCAGAGCAGCTCCAGCAGCGAACGATCCCTCGTGAGCGCCCACACTTAGTTTCAGAGGCAATTAGCTCGTCGACTCCGAGTGAAGAAACTCTCCTGCAGTGAGGACAACCCGGGGACCAAGCTCCCACAGTGGGCTGGGGAGTCAAGTTATTTGACAGGACAGATGAGGCAGACAGGCTCTTCAAGGGAGTGATTCATCTCACTACTGAGAAGACGTCTAAAAAAAGTAAGATGAGTCACGCACTGGAAACATCCATTTCTCTCCATGAGCTGCAAAGGAAGCCTGGAGGACGGGCTCAGATGTACCTACACCACAAACATTCAACGTCACAGAAGAGGAACCCCAGACCATAATATCATAGGTGTCATGCTGCAGAGAAACTTGTATTTTAGAGGGCTGAGCCTAATCTTTAGCTGTGAGCCTCAAATAACACTTAACTGTACTTTATTCTTCAGTAGGATTGAGTAACTCCCAATGTTTTATGTTTGGAGAACCAATACGTAGCACAAGGAAACTACCTCAGAACGGAGGTGTCAACAGGGAACAACAAGTATGCTTCAGCCTTGGCAAAGACCTCCTTGAGAAAGGTCAATTCACACAGTCCCCTTCAGCTGAATGTAATCATCATCATACAGACGGCCCACAAGAGATAAATACATAAAAATATGCTATGCTACATCTTTAACGTACAAGTAGCGGGGCCACGCATAGGCTCACTAAGCCGTAATTTAAAATACAGGCTTACAAAGTGACTGTGACTCACATTTAAAGCTCCAAGCAAATTAATTTCTAACATGGTATCCCATCCCTATGTTTCTTAACTGTTTCTCTCCCTTTTTTTCTTTTATATTACTATTATTTTTTATTTTTCTTTGCAGCTTGGCTTTCTTAAATGCATAAGGTTTTGCTTAAGAAACTATGTTGCAGAAATTGCTACATACGCTCCTGCTCTTTAGGTGTGTGGGTGCATTGAGAGAAAAGCAGGGGGTTCCCTCTGAGGCATCAGGCACTGGGAGTATCACAGGGAAACACAGCTGACATCCAGCCCTACAGCCCCCAGCGGGAATTTCAACTCTGCCAGTGAAACTTTCGCACGCTGTAAAACCGTAGTGTGTTTGTTACAGAACCACAGAATGGTTTGGGTTAGAAGGGACCTTGAAAGACCACCTAGTCCAACCCGCCTGCCATACCTTCCACTGGATCAGGTTGCTCAAAGTAAACAGTATTGGTTCCAGTACAGACCCTTGAGGGACACCACTCATTAATGGTTTCCACTTGGAGACTGAGTCATTGACTGTAACTCTTTGGACACAGCCATACAGCCAATTCCTTACCCATCTAACCCACAACTCTTCAATTTAGAGGTGAGAATGTTGTGGGGGACCATGTCAAAGATCCTACAGATGTCCAGGCAGACGACATCCATAGTTTTTCCCTTGTCCACTGATGCAGTCACTCCATTGTAGAAGGCCACTAGGTTAGTCAGGCATGACTTGCCCTTGGTGAAGCCACATTGGCTGCCTCTAATCATCTCCCTGTCTTCAGTACGTTTTGTTATATCTTCCAAGAGATTTTATCTGAAGATTTGGTTGTGGAATATTAAGCTGAGGAACAAAAGCTTTGTGCCAAGATGAGGAAGCAACATAACGCGCACAGTCAGGCTCTCCCATGCAGCAAGGCTACTACTTACCACAGTAAGCCCTGCCTATGGAAAACAGTCCTGTGATAACAGCGTTTTCTGCATTAGGAGAGTCTCTTCAATTTAAATGAATTTCTGACAT